GTTTACAAACACACATGAAGCTTTATCTTTTAATATATTTTTTCCAGTTTCGCAGAGAAAGCAGTTCTGGGCCACTTTGTTGTTCTCATGCTTTTATGGTTAACACGTGATCCTAAATTCATTTCTGGTTGGTCGGTTTTGTTTAAAGATAAGTAAGTTGACCTTTTTATAATCTCTCATGTTTTTTTGGAAAAAAAATATATATATATTCTTAGAGCTCTGTCCAGATTATCAAATTTTGTGACAAAAACTGTTGATTTGATGAATTTATTACCTTTATTTTGGGGATTTTTAGTCTGCAGGCACCAGCACCACATATTATAGGCCTAACTAAAAAAAATGTGTCAGGCATTTTCTGTTCGTGGTTACTGAAAGCAAAGATTAAGTGGTCCGATTACTGTATGTCGTGGTTTCGTTGGAATCCTATTTCAAAAGGTACTGCCAAGATGGGGGCGCGTCCTTAAAAAGTCGAACTCTATTCGAATTCTAATAAGGGCGCCCCCTGCCTTGTGGTAGTACTTTTTTTAACGGTCCATGCATTGCGTGCATGCAAAATCAAGGTAGGCGAAAGGGTAAAAATAGTGACAACAATAGAACAATTATATATTACCCTACTATCAGTGTATCAAATCGAAAACATATTTATCACCCGACGATACAAAACTATCAAAACGTGTTTGTCGATAACTCAAAGGATACAAAGCTGAAGGCCTACATTTGTGTAGAAAGTACCGGTAATAAAGATGACATGTTAAAAAAACTATTTAATGATCCGGGACGGATTCTCGTTTTCCAGATGAATGGTTGTTGAGGAAAGTTATCTTTCTTTTGTCCACCTTCACCCATAAACAGCGATAGCCTAGTTTGTGCAGCAAACAAGTAGGAAAAAAATTAAATAAGAAATTAAAAAAAAACCAACATTTTTTTAATTGATTTTTGGTATTATCAAAGTATCTTTGTGTATAATATGTGTGTCTTTCAAACCCAATAGAGATGCGATCTTACCAAGACATTATATAATTATATGTAAATTCTCTTGTAAAATTTCTTCAAAATCATTATTCTTTCGTAACAATGCAAAACGGATATCTTTTTTTCTTTCTATCTTTCTTCCACTTTATTGAAAAACCGGAAATATTTAACAAGTAGGACCCAGCCAATAATATAGATTTTAAACATAATCGTAATGGGCCTTCCGCTAAGCCCCACCCCATGGATATTGTTGCTAAAGGCCAACTCAGACAGCGTCGGCCGACGCAGCCCGACGCGATTTGTTGTCGCGTCGGGTCTGTGTGAGTTCAAAGCAGACGCGATGGTGTGCGTCGGGGGTAGTCGCGTAGTAGAATATTAAACATGTTTAATATTTCTCACTACGGCTTAAGACTGTCCCCGACGATAAATCGGGTCGGGCTGCGTTGGCCGACGCTGTCTGAGTTG